CAAGACCAGAAGTTGGTTTTTTGAAAAGATTAATAAAATTGACAAAGCCCTGGCAAATTTAATAAAGGAAAAGAGGAAGAGAATACAATTAACATGAATAAGAAACAAAATGGGTGACATCACAACAGAACCAACTGAAATAAAAAGGATAATAATAGCTGCCCAGCAACTCAACCAGGCCCAGCCAAGTTGACACACAACCTTAACTACCACACCTTCCTACAGGCTGGCGGGAAGAGAGGCTTCAATGATATTAGTGGGTTGACTCCTGCCTGTCAAATGTGGCTTCAAATTCCTCAACCTCCCTATTGAGAAAGACTACTTTCCTGTAAGTAAGTGGAATGTGCAAATGATACCATTTACTGCCTAAAAGATGACTAGAAAATACTACAGAGAGGAGAGGCCAGTAATATAACAAAGTAGTCAAAAGTTATTGGTCTAAAAAGGTTAAGGATGGAACACATACTTGTCAATGTGCTGAGTCATTCTTAGCTCAGAAAACAACCATCTCAGGTTTTCCTGCTCCTCCATGCAACTAGGAGACCTCAGATAAGCCTGCCACTTCTGTTTGTCCTCAGTTCCCTTATACACAGGGCTACTATAATAACTACTTTCCCTAGTTACCATACAGTTAGGGGTTTGAGTAGGAATCTCTAATTTTCAGAAAATTAAAGAGCCAGAAAAATCAAGATGCCCTGTGTGAATCTCCAAATTTTCTCAAGCCTGGAAACCAACTATCTCCAAGGGTTTTTTAAGACTTTCAAAGAGCAATTACTTTTCTTCCTTTCATAAGAGTACCAGGAGCCCTGTGGCTCAGTGGTTAAAGAGTTTTGCTACTAAGTCAAAGGTCAGCAGTTCAAAACCACCAATTGCTCTATGGGAGAAAGATATGGCAGTTTGCTCCCATGAAGATTTATAGGCTTGGAAACCCTATGGGGGGCAGCTCTACTCTGCTCTATAGGGTCACCGTGATTCAGAATTGACTTGACAAGAGTGGGTTTGGTTTCACAAGATTATGTGCAAGAAAAAGAAAACCATTGTTATTGAATTGATTCCGAGTCATGGTAACCCCATGTTACAGAATAGAACTGTTCTGGGGTTTTCATGGCTATAATTTTTACAGAAGGAGATCACCAGGCCTTTCTTCCACAGCACTGCTGGATGGGTTTGAACCAGCAACCTTTAGGTTAGTAGTTGAGCACAAACTGTTAGCAACTACATGGAACCTGATGGGAAAGAAAGATGGTCATTTTTCCATAGCTACTTAATAGTAAACACTCGGAAAAAGAAATTAGGTATTACATTTGGATGCTGGGCAGATGGATGGATGGATGGACAAATGAGTGGGAGGAATCATTCTTGGTAGAGAAAGACAATACTGCTGACTCACTGTCATAGGGTAATGCTTTCCTTCTTTTGAGTAGTGATCACTGGTTTGCCACTAAGGACCGGCAATTGTGGAACTGCTTTGGTCTACTTAGAGTTAAATGGAAAGTGGCCATCAACCAAAAAGACTAAAGCTAAGTGGCCAGGCACACCACTGGCCTTATCAAGATCATCCACTAATCCAGCAGTCCTCATCTACTTTTTTCTCCCACTGCTGTGGCACAGTAATGGTGAGACTCACATACAGCCCTCCATGGTAGAAGACACCAAGAGTATGCACAATTCCTGGAGCTTTGGCTAAACACCACCCCCTACACACATGCATGCACACGCACACACACACACACGTGCATGCATACCATTTTCACATGTTGTTGTTGTTGTTATGTGCCATCGAGTCAGCCCTGACTCATAGTGACCCCTCCTTGGGTTTCCGAGGCAGTATCACTACGAAAGTAGGATTGCCCAACCTTCCTTCCAAGGAGTGGCTGATGGGTTTGAACCGCCAGCCATCTGGTGAGCAGTCAAGTGCCTTAGCCACTATGCTACCAGAGCTCCCATTTTCACATACTCACGCTGTTTTGGTTATCTCTGTAACAACCTCTATTTTCTGCTCTAACAGAAAATATACCATAAATGGGATGGCCTTAACAAACTGGAGTTTATTCTCTTACAGTTTGGAGGGTCTGGGTGAAAGCCCCTCAACCTTGGGCTTCAACCCTGCCTCCTGCTCCTGGCCCACTGAAGCTAGAGGCTTTTCTTCACTCAGACAACTGCTGGCTGCTGAGGTATTTCTTCACTCAGCTGCTCGGTGCTGAGGCTGAGAAGCCCAAGTGAAAAGGCACAGTCCTGATGTTACCAAACCACACAGCAAGCCATTAATTTAAGTCCATTATAAGTCCCAAGGTCGGCAGAGCATGGCAGGATACTGAACAACAACACGGCTACATGCAGGATTCAAGCATGCCATAAGCTAGAGACCATTCCCAAAGCTGTTTCTTATATACGGGAAGTAGACCATGTACCCAAAGCAGTTACTCAGTTGCTCCAATAGATTCCACCATGGAGTTAATTACCAATCTCACCATAGGGAATAACTACAATCAGCTGCCCAGCCACTCAACCAGGCCTAGCCAAGTGGCCACACAAACTTAACCACCACACATGAATACTATTTTCTCTTTGTCAAGAATGCATATGCAAATCCACAAACAAGAAAGCTGTTGTTACAGAACTACTCTTGGCACCACTCTACATTATCAAAAAATAAATCACTTAGCAGCTTTGAAACTTAAACTATTTTCATAACAAATCTCAACAGCAAGGTGAGGCTTATCTACAATTCCCATTTGCTGAGAAACTCCAAGGAACCCACAGCCCCAGGCCCGCCCTCCCCATAGGGCTAACTAGGCCCTGCAGTAGCAGCCAGCTGTGCAGAAGATTGACCAGGCACCCAGACCAGCCTTACCAAAACAGATTTATGGTTTGCTTGAAGTCTGGCAATGGCATCTTCATTCAACTTGAGTTTCTGTTCCAGGTCCAACTGGGTGCATCGAAGTTCAGCCTGGAAAAAGGAAAAGAGAGTGTTAAGGAGGAAGGAGCCCAGTACACTAGAAGTCCCCCAAAGGTAATAGCACTATCCACCACTGAGGTCCTGGCCTTTCTTCCATGAAGAAAGAAAATCTGACCTCTGGAGTTGCTCTCTGAGCCAGCCTCAAGTTCTCTAAACAGAGATGCAAAGGTTTTTACAGGTGGCAGCATCCTCCTAAGGGCTGAACTCAGCAAGAATCAGCTCAAGTGTGTCGAGCACTTATATTGTGCTGGTTATCATTGTAAGCACTTTACATGGATTGCCTCATAGCGTCCTTACAACAACCATATTAGGTAAGTATAATAATCGTCTCCATTTCTTAGATGATAAAATTGAAGCACTTATCCAAGGTCACACAGGTAATCAGTGGATTTAAACCCCAAACAGTAACCAAATGCAGTGAGTCAATTAAAATTCATGGCAACCCCAAGTGTGCCAGAGTAGAACTGTGCTCTATAGAATTTTCAATGGATGATTTTTCAGAAGTAAATTGCCAGGTCTTTCTTCTGAGGTGCCTCTGGGTGAACCCGAACCTCCAACTTTTTGCTTAACATCTGAATAGGTTAACCATTTGTACTACTCAGGGACTCCAGCTGACCCCAGAGCCCAGGAATCAGATCATGCAGGGAGTGTAGGCTGTAGAGCCCGACAGCCAGGTTAGAATCTCAGTTTTTCCACTTAGCAGCTGATAAGACTTTGAACAAGTTTACTCAACATCTCTAAACTTCCATTTCTTCCCCTGTGATATAAAGTACCTACTTTTAGGGCTATTGGAGAATGGAATGAGGTATGTGTTGAGTGAGAATTTAATATAGTACTTGGCACATTGTAAATGCTCCAGAAATGACAGTGCTTGTCATTATTACTATTATCATCATTATTACCTGCTTTCATTCCTTACTCTGTATTTGCTCCTGGCAGTGGGCACAGAGACTACTTGCCACCAGCCTTGGCAAGTCTATCTGAGAACCCAGATCTGCCTGCTTTGACTCCACAGCCAAGCATCACCTGCCTCCTTGAACTTCCTAAGTACTTTCTGCCAAAATGTGTGCCAAGGCACAAAAGTTAATCCTTTTCAAATTTTAAAGGCCCTGCCACTTTCTTGCTTCCACAAGGGTGTGAGACAGCAGAAAGAAAAAAAAATCAACTTCAACTGCCTTTAATAGCTAATGTCTGCATTAGAAGCTGTGAATCATTATGCCCTATTTAACCACATGAGGGCATAAATTAAATGTCTCTCCCTTTTCCCACTGAAGCCTAGGGAATCCCAGGTCCTCTGAGGAGAGAAGCGGCTGGCAGGGGGCTTACCTCACAAAGACACTCCAAAATGCAGGGAAGGTTGACTCAGGCTCTGGGTCACTGATCTGCAGCTGAGAAAGCCCTGGCCAGTACTCAGCCCTGAAAGTGATATCTGAGACCTAAGACCTGAGGCCCAGGAATGGGGTAGGGGAGTGCTGGCCTGTTTGGGGCAATAGTGGATCTTGATCTATGTCAAATGATACATAGTGATCCATTCCAGAGGGGAGGGGAAACATAGACTGCGTGTTTAAAAGTGATAGAAAACACAACAGAACACATCCCCGCAATGGGCTCCTGCAAGATGGCTCCTACACAGCATGGATGTAGAACGCATTGTAAAACCATCTACCGCAGCATGATTCAAAAGACACCCAGAGAATATCCAATGAGAAGGCTTTTCTCCTCTGTCTCCAGACTTCCATAAAAGGAGAAAAGCATCTCTAAGTAACTGATGAGGGCTTCTCTGAGTGAGTCATCTGAAGGAAGCACTCCCAATTATGACAAAAGGTGGGGCCACAATGAAAGACAAGTACCTCTAGTTATTCTTGTTCCTGGAAAAGAATGGAGTGCCTCAGACTCTGGCTTTGGGGTTTCCCAAGATGTTAGCCATCTCAGGTCTCACACATCTCAGGTCAGGATGGGCCTGCAAAAAAGCAGGACAGTGCTGACTATGGACATAGAGTAGCTGGTGTGGCATCAACTCCAACTCATAGCAACCTCATGTATAACAAAACAAAATGTTGCCTGCTCCTGAGTCATCCTCACTGGCATGTTTGAGTCCATTGTTTTGGCTATTATGCCAACCCAGCTTATCAAGAGTCTCCCTCATCCTCTCTGGACTTCCACTTCACCAAACATGATGTCCTCCTCCAGCAATTGATCCCTCCTGATTTTGTGTCGAAAGAGAATGAGCTGGACAATGTTCTGTCGTGATCCATAGGGTTTCCACTGACTAATTTTCAGAAGTAGATCACCAGGCCTTTCTTCCTAGTCTGTCTTAGTCGGAAAGTTCTGCTGAAAGCTTTACACCATGGGTGACCATTCTGGTATATTAAATATTTGTAACATAGCTTCCAGCATAATAGCAACACACAAGCCACTACGGTACAATAAACTGAGAGATGGGTGAGTAGTGCTCTTATAGGCACAGACATCTACATATTGAAGGGCATAGAAAGTCCTGCCTGTTTCAGCAAGGTAATAACTAACCTTGTGCAAAAAGCTCCATATTTAGATATCTGCCACTTGCTAGCTATCCAACCTGGGACAAATCATTTAGCTTCTTCTCCTCTAGTGCTGGGCCACATGAATATGTTAACAGAATTGTTCTTTATGTATAGGACAAAGGTCGCATAAGAGCTTGGTGGCCAGGGGTTAGGTTAGAAGTGCAAATAAGAACAGGAGATAAAGGTAGCAGAGAGAAGAAAATTCCATATGGTGTCCGTTCTTTTGTATTTCTAACCAGTGTTGTTAGCACTTGTGGAGTTTGCATTCAGTAGGCAAGATCCTGGACACTGACTTCTTTCCTCAGAACCTATGACATGCCACAAAGCAAAACCAAACTCACTGCCATCGAGTCAATTCTGACTCATAGCAACCCCCATTGGGTTTCCAAGGAGGTAAATCTTTATGGAAGTAGATTGCCCAGTCTTGCTTCTGCAGAATGGCTGGTGGGATTAAAACACCAACCTTCTGGTTAGCAGTGCTGCCAGACCTTACAACATGCCAGTCCTGTCAAATAAGACACATCCCCTTCTGTTGATAGACTTATAGCCTAGTTGAATATTTAAGGGGAAAAAAAAGTTACATAATGCTGAATCCAAGCCATTCTTTAGAATTTCTAGAAGAAACTTTTCCTGAGTTATCAAATTATCTACCTTCTGGCTTCCTGCATTGTAAACAAAACATGCTAACTGCTCTCCAAACAAGCACAAATACTTTTTGTTCTCAGACGCTTGGAGTCCTGCTCTATGTAGAGATTGTCCTAGATCACATTCAGTCTAGGACTTTCTGGAACTGATGCTGATGTTGAATATTGTGTCCTAGCACTTGTCCATTTCAAAGATCTAAGAAAGGGTCCAGCTCAGGTCTTTCTTCCTCCAAGGACCCTACTCTGGTCTTCTTACCACCTGGTGACCTCTTCCCTCCTCTGAACAGGAAGCAGTTGCATTGTACCAGCCCACTGGCACTTCATGGAGCCTGATATGTTCATTGGCTTATTGATTAGAGTTCGAGCTCCCTGAGAGCAAACAGTGTAGCCTAGCACTTATCTATAAAAAATAAAAAAACTCACTGCTCTCAAGTCAGATCCAACTCATAGCGTCCCCTCCTTGGGTTTCCAAGGCAGTATCACCACAGAAGTAGATTACCCAATCTTCCTTCCAAGGAGTGGCTGGTGGGTTTAAACCACCAGCCTTCTGGTTAGCAGTCAGATGCCTTAGGCGCTACGTCACAAGAGCTCCTACTTATCCATGTTGTTGTTGTTGTTATGTGACGTCAAGTCGGACCCGACTCATAGCGACCCCCTCCTTGGGTTTCCGAGGCAGTATCACTACGGAAGTAGATTGCCCCATCTTCCTTCTGAGGAGTGGCTGGTGGGTTTGAACTGCCAGCCTTCTGGTTAGCAGTCAAGTGCCTTAGGCACTAAGCTACCAGAGCTCCATAGTAGAACTCAATAATGTTTGATAAGCTTGAAGATCAGGGAAGAACCACAACCACTTTATGGGTCAGAACAAACAGAAAAATTGAGTCACAGAAAAATTCCCAACCTTACAACACACACACATGAAGTCTCATTTCTAGGGAAGCCAGCTTGAGATTCCAAGAAAGAGAGAAGAGCTGTCAGCTTCCAGGTGAAAGTAGCAGCTCTTAAAAGGAAAGGAGCCTCAAGGTGGCCTAGGGCAGACAGGAAATACTGAGATCTCCTTTAGGAAAAGCTGAGCTCCAGAAGCTAGAACAAACAATAGATCAAAGAACACCAATCTCTCAAATTCCAAAGAGAATTTTCTACTGACATAGGTAGGAACTATGGGACCTTCAGAAAGGGCTTACTTGGTTAACTGAGAAATCAATAGCTCTGTGGACCCTAAGCAGGATTTCACCTGCTTTGTGTCCTTACAGATTCCCCTGTCATTTACACCTTCCTATGGTAGGAGCTCTGGTAGCATAGTGGCTAAGACACTTGCCTGCTAACCAGACGGCTGGCGGTTCAAACCCACCAGCCACTCCTCGGAAGGAAGGTTGGGCAATTCTACTTCCGTAGTGATACTGCCTCGGAAACCCAAGGAGGGGTCGCTATGAGTCGGGGCCGACTCGACGGCACATAACAACAACAACAACATGGTAGCATAGTGCCTAAGGCATTTGACTGCTAACCAGAAGGCTGGCGGTTCAAACCCACCAGCCACTACTCGGAAGGAAGATGGGGCAATCTACTTCCATAGTGATACTGCTTCGGAAACCCAAGGAGGGGTCGCTATGAGTTGGGTCCGACTCGACAGCACATAACAACAGCAACAACAACATGCACACTATGGAGTCCCTGGGTGGTGCAAATGGTTAATGCACTGAGCTGCTAACCAGAAGATCGGAGGTTCCAGTCCATGCAGAGGAATTCTGAAAGAAAACCAGGTGATCTATTTCTGAAAAATTAGCCATCAAAATCCCTTTGGGTC